AATATTATTTTTAATAAAAAGATCATTGGTGAATATTTAGTATTGAATTCAAGTATTTTTTAGTAGTACAAGTACTGTCCACAAAGACAATTTCAGAAGTTTCTTTGAATTATGATTGAAATGAAGAGTATTTGTTAAGTGCATCATAAACCCACTGTGCCCTCTTCTCTTTGAAAGTCTTTTGTTGCTAGGAGGGAAAGTTTCAAAGCAAAGAGTAGACAGTGTTACTGGGGTTACCTTTCTTGTTATACTTCTTCGATGAGTCACCTTGGGGAGTTTACATGACGTGAGGGCAATCAGCAATATAAGATTTATACAATGACCGTGACATTCATATATCATTTTTTCCTCTGAGCTTTATGAAGTTTGAAATGAGAGTCATCCCATTAAGAAAAATTATGTTTGAAATCTTTAGGTCAGGTACAAATAAAAACAATGAGTGATAAATAACTTACATTTTACTTTGTGTCAATGTGTAGGCCTTTGTAGACAAAATTTATTACTGCTCTGAGTCAGTTTTTCCCCTATTGGTCAGGAAAAGATTGTCTTTGTAGATAATAAGTACTGATTTTAATATCAATTTACAGGAGTACATAAAATCATTTTTGCTTTGAAATGACATCTTACTTTGAAGGTTTTGTTGAATGTTAATGCAATATAATTTGTCATAAATTTTGTTCTGGGCATGGTCTTTCAAGTAGGAAGGAGAATTTTTGTTTGGCAGATTAAGCCAGTTGTTTCTTGGTGTGTGTGTGAGCATGAAAAGCAATTCCAGGGGGTGGGAGGAGATTTAAAAAAATTAATCTCCCATTTTGGAGGTTATGCAAAATCCAATTGACCTTTATGAAAACATCTAATTGTCATGCACCCAGGTACTTTCCGGGCTCAAACTGACAGTCAAATATCACTAGAAAGGTTATTCTTGTTTTTTCAAAACTTGCTTGAACCAAGAAGCATTGTGTGTCCATGGGGGGTGGGGTTCTAATTAAGCTCATCGCGGTCTTCTGTTTAATTAATTACTTAATGTTTGTCAAGTGATTTGAAGACGCTAAATGAAATGTATGTGCTGCTTAGTATTATTCATGAAAAGCAAATAAGACATTAATCCTTTTCATTTTCTCATAAGTATGGTACCTAAGCTGGCTTATTTTTATGGACCCCATCCACAGTTGCCCTCTTATAGATTTGTAAAATGCATAATACACAGAAAGTGTTGTGTAAATTTTAGAGACAACTTACAAGAATTAGATAATATATTTTGTTCTATAATTTTAGCTAGCCTATATTCTCTAATTTTACCAGTGTGAGTCGTCTTCATAGAATAAAATAGAAGAGGTTTGTTTTACAGTGTTTCTGGTATTACTTAAGTAAACTTTACAATTGTATAAGAACCTTGAATTTCTGCACTAATCTAAAAGGATAATTTAAAGCTGGTAGGAATGGAGAATTGTTTTTCCTTGGTACCTTTCACTGAAAATGTTAAATAGAGTAGATATTCTCCATATATTCCACTTAACACTGTTAGTAATAAAAGGAAAGTTCAGTCTATTTGAAGTCAATTAAAATCTGGACCTTGCTGTGACAGTACTCATAAATATAGAACCAAGTAAAACTACTGGTTGTGACTTAAAAAGCACACACACATATGACAGTGTAGAAAATGAAGGGTGACTATGACAGCGTATAACTTTTGGGGGCTCTCCCCAAACCATGTCTTCCAATCATCACCAGATGTTTCAGTACCAAGAGACACCAAAATACACCAGAAGCACAGCTTAGTAGCAATTTTTGAGATGTTGAAACATGTAATCTTTGTTATTGAACCTAGTATAGCTGCAAATCATGCTTTAAACATAAAATTGCAGAAGGTTTTGCAACCTTTAAATCTTTTCTTGTCATTTTATGTTTCTGGCGTTAAATTTTGCTGTGTTAATGTCATCTTCACTTGGTAATATTTACAGCACCTAAATCAATGCTGAGGACACACAGAATATTGAAGGATCAACTCTACTTCTTCCAAATACACTTTAATACTTTCACGGCTAAACCAGAGTTCGAGAAATAACTGCGGCGGAATGATAATGAGAAGTTTAACAGTTTTATGATGGTTGAAGCTGACTTTATGAAAGTTGATAAATTTCATCTTGTAGGTTTCAATTTCTCATTCCCTACCGAGAGATGGGGAGAATACATTGATACTGCATTTCAAATTGGCTAGATCAGAAGGAACAGCAGCTAAAATCCATTACAACCCAATTACATCCATCAGCTGAAGCTGTGTGCATTCACTCGTGAACATCAGCATTTAATCCATAAAGGGGAACTAATGAGAAATTTGAAAATGGAATCTACGCATCAGTAAGTTTGGAGAGATTTTTCTGGGATTAATGATCTGCCAGAGCATCTTCAACATGCTGGAAAGCTATTCTCTCTGGGTTTGTTTACTGACCAAGAGAAAAAAGGGGGTTTTCTTCTGTCTGCTCATCAGATATTTGGAATACTACTTGTTTCAGTCCTTGAAAATGGGATACCATGAGCTTTGGAAGTCAGGTACGTGTTGGTGAACACTGCTGTCATTGAACAGAAAAAATTAAATTATTAAGTGAGAAGTTTCCACTTTGAGATTAGTAGCAAGTACTCTGAACAAATTATTTTACCTCTGTAGATGCTAAGACAAATGTGTTCTTTTAATTTGAGACCTGGGAGTGTGTTTAGAATTGCACATAGTGGCAATAATTCTATGGTGTAGAAAAGAGAAATAGTTTTTATTTTTTACTTTTGGTGATTGCATGGATAGAAATAAATATTCCACTTGTTGAGTTGCAATTGCTTAAAGAGTAACAAGGAAGCTTAGAGAGTAACAAGGAAGCTTAGAGAAAGTGGAGGATAAACTTGTTAACAATTGCATAACTTCACAGGTACAATTTCTGCATCAATAAACATATAGTTTGTGAAAAGTTAACACTAGATGAAGTTTTAGAATGCTTTGCAATTTGTTTTCATCTGGTGAAAATGGTTTCTGTAAGCATACAATTTAGGGATGTTACTATATCCAAGGTTTGGCAAATGTAGTCATCAGATTAAATAGATGTATATGTGGAGTGTGGAGGATTGGATTCCCAGTGATGTTTGGAAAATAATTTGGTTTAATTTGTTGCTCTTTGAAGAGAAGATAAGAGTTAGATTTCATATTCAAATTACACCAGACAGTATAACTCGTACCTCTGTTTCTGTAGTTCCTGAAGTATGCTTATTTAAGTGTGAATACAGCACCTCATGATATTGATGGCTTTAATGGAGGTTAAAAAACATAAAATTAGAGGTTTTCTTTCCTTATGCAAAATTTCAGAGAGAAGTTTATTTTCTTTCTATCTTTAGAAAAATAAATGGCAAAGGGAATACAAAGAAATCTGACCTTTGTGTTTTTGGCACAGGGAAGCCATTGGAGGACTTTTAGTGGAGGGATAACACACACGTATTAGAAGGGTTACTCTGGCTGCAATGAAGACTAGGTTGGGATAAGATTGTGAATGGAGAGCGCAGAGAGAACAATGAGGCTTTCTCTGTATTTAAAGGAAGAGTTGGCAGTGGAAACAATATTGGGAGAGGAGACATCCTAAAGGATGTATGAGAAGTAGAGCTGACAGAACTTGTTTGTTGAAATACCAGAAATTGTTTTTAGAGCAATTGGGTTATTGGTGGGTCCATTTACTGCAAAAGAGGTACTGGGGAAAAGGGAATTAGTTGTGGGGATCCAAGCTAATCGCCTGGCCTTTGCTGATGGTCTTAGGGACAGGGCTGTTATTTTTTTGTGGTGATTGTCCTGAAGCAGGGTACCTATTATCTGAAAGTTTTCTGTTTTGCTAGCCTTCCTCTTTTCTTTATTTTGGTTTGAGAGGGCTGGCTTTCCATGGGGTGTGTTTTGCATGCTGTTGTTGCTGTCTGCAGATTGCTGGCTTCTCCATCACACAGTCTGAGATAGATAAAGCAAAAAGCAAAATCAAGAAACTCATGTAATTCCTTTAGTGAAGGATCTCAAAAGGTATGTTTCTTTTCCTCCAACTTTGAGAATCCTTTTATGATTGTCTTATATATAATGTCCAGGATTTTTAGTTGTACTTTGAGGGAAGAGGAGGGAATGTACATTTACTCTATCTTGGTCTGAAACTGCAAATAACTTAGGATTTCTTAAGCTAGAAACAGTTATATTATAAAAGAACTAAGGAGGAAAAGACTAATATAAAAAATAAAGTTTCATTACTGCCTGAAATATTGACCCTTCACATTTAAACCTAAGATTAGTATATATTTATCTATGACTTACTTTTCCATATTTCCAGCATTATGGGAAACACTAGTCTGTAAGTTCTGCTTCAAAAATAATGTGGAGGAAGGCCATAGCTGTGTGTTAGGAATAAGAATTCCATTATTCTAATATAAGATTAAGACTGCTCTGACTTATGATAAGAAGAGAAAAAAATTGGCTGGGTATGGTGGTTAACACCTGTAATCCTAGCCCTTTGGGAGGCCAATGCAGGCAGATCAAGAGGTCAGGAGTTCAAAACCAGCCTGGCCAACCTGGTGAATACCTGTATCTACTAAAAATACAAAAATCAGCCAGACATGGTGGTGCATGCCTATAATCCCAGCTACTCAGGAGGCTGAGGCAAGAGAATTGCTTGAACCCGGGAGGCAGAAGTTATAGTGAGCCAAGATCATGCTACTGCACTCCAGCCTGGATGAAAGAATGAAACTCTGTCTCAAAAGAAAAAAAATATTGATTTTGATAATATCTAAACATGATGAATATTTAATAGGAAAATCAAAACATTAGAGGGAAATTTAGTATAAAATGAAATAGGTGAACAAGCATGGAAAATACACATAAAAAGTAACTAGGACTCATTTGGTGGAAATATAAATTATAGCACATTAAGGCTGTTGATGAACAATTATTTATTAAATGTCCTTTTTTTCTAATTGAGCAGTTCCATAAATATTTGTGTATGTACTTTATTATTCAATATGCTAAAATATATACTCATATACAGTCTATGTTGTTGTGGAAAGGAGTGGAGATGAGACAGAGAGAGAGGAAAAGAGAGATAATTAGTGGGTTAAAGAAGAAGAAAAAACATTAAAAAAAATTCCATGGAAGGTGGATATTCCAGGATGGGTAAATGGCTCAGCTCCATGAAGTTCTGGGCAATTCTTCTTTCTCATTATTTCACCAATTCTGAAGAGGTTGCCCATTTTTGCAAGGCTGGTTTTCTGGAACCACAGTCTGGTGTTCCATCCTATATAAAGGTGGAAAGAGAAAATGGATGTCAAGCATATGTTTCCAAATAAGTCACATGGATTAGAAAACATCATTTCCACTCATTTCTTTTGATGATGACTTCTTTCCCTCACTGACCACTTTCCCTAAGAATACTACCCCAAATTCCATTCATTTTCAGTACGCAACTAGAAATTTAGGATCTCTGAGTGATGTACAATCCTTTCCATATGCTCCAGATTTGGTTCCTGGTTAACTAATCAGATATAAACTAACATCTGTTCCCACTCCTCACACATACCCAATGTGCAGTTGCTTTAAACTCTCCTCATAGATAAAAGGAAGAATTAGAGGCATATCACAAAGTAGTCACAGGTTTTCAAGCAATCCTCTTGCCTCGGCCTCCTGAGTAACTAGGACTATAGTGCATGCCACTATGCCTGACCAAATTTGTTATTTTTTTGTGTGTAGAGATGAGGTCTTGCTATGTTACCTAGGCTGGTCTTGAACTTTTGGGCCCAAGCAATCCTCCTGCCTTGGCTTCCCAAAGTGCTGGGATCACAGATGTGAGCCATGGTGCCCAGTAGTAATCATAGTTTATAGCAATGAAGAAACTCTGCTGGCTAGGAAGGGTGAAAAACCTCTGCCTTGGAAGTGGTCTAAATTCCTTGATCAAATGCTGGTTATGCTTTCTGGAAGGAATTTCTTGGTCCAGTATTCCTCATTGCTCCCAGCTTTGCCCTCTTGGAAGTTTTGTCTATTATTATCTGTGGCTATGTCTGAAATCAGTATCAGAGAAGTCACTCTTCTTGTTTTCCAGCATTCCCAGCCTACTTCTTGCACATGCCTTTGGGAGATTTGCAGGTTGCTTTATTCATGTAACAATTCCATGGCTTTGAAGGCCAGGCTTGTAGTTGCATTGGTAAAGTAATTTCCTCTAAACTTACTAGAGTCCTGGTCTGTTTATCTCCAGACACTTTTATGTGAAAGTTAAAATCACCATTATCTTGTCTAGTCATGATTCTGAGCACATTTACTAACTGTTCTCTCCGCTTAACTCACTTCTGTCTTTCTCCATTGAATGGTGGCTACTGTGCAGCAATGTGAATCAGTAGGCATAGGTATAGGGGTTAATCAGTCTATCACAGCCAGCAATCACAAAATCTCAGTGGCATGCAACAGAAAGCATTCATTCACTCATGTGCCCACTACTGGCTGAGCTTTAACTGATGTAGGTTATGTTCAGCAGGATGACTTAAATCTAAGCTATGGATTGAGGCCATGTTTCTTTCATTCTCTTTGTGTAGCATGTTAGCTGAGGTTCCCCTAATGGGACTTGCAGAGGGAGAAGACAGCCTCTACAATTTGCTATGCTTCTCAATCCTATGCTCAGATCCTGCCACTATCACTTTTTTTTGCATAATATTATCCTTTATTAATGTATATATTCCTTTGTCTTCTAGCTATAGGAATTTGTAGTCACAGCTTGATTCATAGCACAGATCTCATTCATCTTCGTTTCACCTACAGGCCCTACCAAATCCTTTACTTTTTAATTTTTAAAAAATTTTTTATTTCCATAGGTTTTTTTGGAAAAAGGTGGGATTTAGTTACACAAGTAAGTTCTTCAGCAGTGACTTGTGAGGTTTAGGTGGACCTGTCACCCAGGCAGTATACACGGAACCCAGTTTGTAGTCTTTTACCCTTCGCCCTCTTTCCACCCTTTCCTCCTGAGTCCCCGAAGTCATTCTTATGCCTTCACATCCTCATAGCTTATCTCTCACTTATGAGTGAGAACATATAATGTTTTGATTTTCCATTCCTGAGTTATTTCACTTAGCATAATAGACTTTGATCCCATCCAGGTTGCTGTGAATGCCATTAATTCATTCCTTTTTATGACTGAGAAGTACTCTGTCATATATATAACCACAGATTCTTTATCTGCTCATTGATTAATGGGCATTTGGGCTTGTTCCATATTTTTGCAATTGTGAATTTGGCCACTATGACTTTTGTCCACATTTTATTGGCTAAAGCTGGTCCCATCACCAAGCCCAAGGGGAAGTGATGAGAGAACATGCCCATCTTTAGCATGATGGATGCCAAGTCATGTGACAAGGGATACAGGAAAACAGGCACATCTACCACAAGGAGCAATACCATTTTGTCTCTGACAGAGGATTTTCAATGGGAGCTTCTCTTATCCTTGTTGCTTGGCTTTTCCAGACTTCTAAGCCCTGAAATTTCTAGCTTGTCAGTCAAGTTAGGGGCAAGAAAAGTCTCCTTTGAGTAGCTGTATTTCTTCCATCACTGCTTGTACAGGTACACTGTCCTTAGGTACATTTTTTAAAGGATCAAGGAAAAGATAACACACACAAACATTCCAATCTCTGTCTTAGCCAGTATCACATATTTTATGTATTATTTTGACCCCAGTCTACGCCCCACTACTTTGGATATCGAATACTCTAGATGTTAATATTTAGTGGAGGAAAAATTATTCCAGGTATTATGAGAATTTAAAAGGAAAGAATTTAATACAGGGAACTCAATACTTCCAAAAGACATAGAATAGGAGTCTGGGGGCTACCACTGCTTTAAAGAGTTCAAGGACAACTGTCCCAGCTGCAATCCAGAAATCAGGAGACTGTAGCTGCTGCCATACCACTGCCTCTCAATACAGGAAACCCTGATGACCAGATGCAGATGCTGAGTAGGCCACAAGTAAAGACAAATGTCGCGTTGACTTTGCTTGCTCGATAAATAAATAAACTAATTAATTAATAAGAAGTTGTCCTTGCTTTTCTTAACTTATACACTGTCTGCACCAGCACAATGACTAAAACCTATCTATATACAAAATCCTAACTAAAGGTGAGGTGAATCTTTGAAACATACTTCTCTCTGCAGTTCAGGAAGAGGCAGAGAAGAGGGTGGGGAAGGTGAGAATATGCCAATTGACTATATCTGGTATGTCTAACAAAGGAAGCAATATCATCCCTCAAATATTTGAATTTGGCTATATTATTGAAGAAATAAATTTGAAAAGCAAATGATTAAAGATAGCTAATTTTATGCATAAAGAATTAACAATGAGGAAAATATCAATGATGTTTCATAAAAGAACTCTGTATTGTATCAGAAATCAAGAATAAAAATTTCAAAAAATAAATATATACACTGTGATGGAGAATATTTAGAAATGTATATTTTCATGGATATTTTTATGTGTACCCATTAGAAGATAAGAGAATCTATAAATTTAATGACAATTATAATTTTATCAAATCTAGAAAAAATGAAAAGAGTATAAATTCATAGTTGACACTTTTGGAATTTATTTTCTTTAGCTTTGATAATCTGACCTAAAATGCTGATGAATCATTATAATATAATAGATTATATCTAAGAAGGAATATTATTCCTTGTTAAAAAGAGGATAATAAACTTGGACTCACAGTAAGCACGGATTTGAATAAATATTTTAGTATCAAATATCACTCAAACATTCTTCACTATAAAAATGCAATGAGATTTAGGTCAGACGTGGTGGCTCATGCCTGTAATCCCAGCACTTTGGGAGGCTGAGGTGGGCAGATCACCTGAGGTCAGGAGTTCAAGACCAGCTTGGCCAACATGGTGAATCCCTGTCTCTACAAAAATAAAAAATTAGCCGGGCATGATGGCACGTGTCTGTAATCCCAGCTACTAGGGAGGCTGAGGTGGAAGAATCACTTGAACCCAGGAGGCGGAGGTTGTAGTGAGCCAAGATGGTGCCACTGCACTCCAGCCTGGGCAACAGAGCAAGACTGTCTCAGAGAGAGAGAGAAAAAAAAGATGGGCATGGTGGCATGTGCCCATAATCCCAGCTACTCTGAAGGCTGAAGCAGGAGAATCACTTGAACCCAGGAAGTGGAAGTTGCAGTGAGCCAAGATTGCGCCACTGCACTCCAGCCTGGGTGACTCTCTCTCTCTTTCACACACACACACACACACACACACACACACAAATTGTAATGAGATAAAAGGAGCTCATCTCTGTTTCTGTTTAAGAGAGCATTGCTATTGCTATTAACTGTTTATGTTTCCATTCATTTTTGTATGCATATTTTGACATATATGGTATTATACATAGCTTGCCATTGTTTCTTGGATTTTTTTCACTTCAGTTCACAACTGTCATCTTTTTTTTTTTTTTTTTGAGGTGGAGTTTCCTTCTTGTTACCCAGGCTGGAGTACAATGGTGCAATCTTGGCTCACCGCAACCTCCGCCTCCTGGGTTCAAGCAATTCTCCTGCCTCAGCTTCCTGAGTAGCTGGGATTACAGGCACGTGCTACCGTATTTTTAGTAGAGATGGGGTTTCACCATGTTGACCAGGATGGTCTCGTTCTCTTGACCTCGTGATCCACCCGCCTCGGCCTCCCAAAGTGCTGGGATTACAGGCTTGAGCCATCGCGCCTGGCCCACAACTGTCATCTTGACTAAAATAATATTTCTATTCTTTTATAAGCAGTACTGAATACACAAACATACACACTTTTCATTAAATTTCATAGCTAGAAGGGAAACACTGGTAAAATGGTTCACACAATTTAAATTTCCATTGTCTCATCAAATAGCCCTTAAAAATTTATCAATTTATATTTAAAAGAAAGAGAATAAAAGTACTTTATTTTCTATATACTGCTAATTCTAACTTACCAAATTTCCCAATATTTTCCAAATTTATAAAAGTCAAAATTATTATCATTGAGATTTTAGTTTGCATCACCCTTATTATCAGTAAAGTTGAATAGCTTTTCATATTTTTATCATGATTTTTTCTCTTGTTCTGGAAATTGCCTGTTTATTACAATTTTCCTTTTGGATTTGGAGGTTTTAACTTTTTATTAACTTCTTAGGACTATAATAGATGTGGGTGTATATAAAATATGGTTTTATATACATGTGTATATACATATATATGTGTATATATACATAAAACAAGTTTGTTGGCATGTTTTCCTTTTTCTGTTTCAGTTTGCCTTGCTGTGATTTAAAAGATTTCTGTGCTCAAATGTCTCAAACATATTAATCTTTTCCTTTATGATTATTCTGATGCTTAATACTATAATTATAGATAACTCTTCTTTAATTAATTCACATATTTGAGTGACATGTATTTTTAATCAACGAAGGTATAATTTACATACAATAAAATGCACATTTTTAATATGTAGTTCAATGAGTTCTGACACAGATATATGCCTATTTGACCAATTTGCTAATCAAGGTAGAGACTATTTCCATCATCGCAGATGCCTTTGGCATCTGATAGCAAGTCAATCCTTGCTATTCCCTGCTCCAGTCAACCACTGAATAGATTCTATAAGAATAGATTAATTTCACCTATTCTAGGATTTCATGTAAATGAAATCATGCAGTATGTACTATTTTATGTCTAATTTTTTCCCTCGGCATGCAGATTTTCAGATTTATCCATCCATGCTACGGCATTTATCAGTAACTCATTTCTTTTTATTTCTGAGTATTGTTCCACATCATGAATGTAGCAGTTTAGTTAGTAATACATTCACCCATTACTGGACATTTGAATTGTTTTCAGTGTTTACTATTACGAGTAAAGCTGCTGTGAACATTCATATACCAATGTTTCTGTGAAATGTGTCTTTATTTCTCTTGGGAAAAGACCCAGGAGAGAGATTACTGATGTATATGGTAAGTAGATGTTCAATTTTATAAGAAATTGACAAACCTTGTCAAAGTGGTTGTACTATTTTACACTATGATCAGAAATAAATGGGTTCCAGTTGCTTCAAATTCTTGTCCTCACTTGGTATCACCTTTTTTTTGTCATTCTAATAGGTGTGAAGTTATTTCAATTTGCACTTTCTTGATGATTAATAGAATTGAGCAGCTTATTTGCTAATTGGCAATCTGCACATAATCTTTGGTGAAGTGTCTGCTCAATTCTTTATGTATTTATTAAAATTTTAAATTATTATTGAAATGTAAGAATTTACCATATATTCTAGATTTCAGTACTTTGTTGGCTAGCACAAATATTTTCTCCTAGTTTGTAACTTATTTTTATATATTTTTAACTATGTATTATACTTTTTAATATATAGAGTTTGCCCTTTAAATTATAAGTTAAATTAAAATTTATAATTTAAAGATGCAATCATTTTTAAGGGTACAATTCAGAGGCATTAATTACATTCACAATGTTGAGCAACCATCAGAACTATGTATTCCCAAATCATTTTTATCACCTCAGAAACTCTATAAACATTAAGCAATAACTCTACGTTCTTTCCTCCTCCCTGCCCTCAATACCCTTAAATCTACTTTCTGCTCCAATGAGTTTGTCTATTTTAGATATTTCATGTCAGTGCAATCATACAATATTTGCACTTTAGTGTCTGATTTCTTTTGTTTAGCATAATATTTTTAAAGTTTATTCATGTTGTAGCATCTTTGAGAACTTTATTTTTTAATGGCTGAATTATATGCATATTATGTGATGTATATATATATATAATTATCACATTTTGCTTAACATAATATGCATATAATTATCACATTTTGCTTAGCCATTCAACACTTGAGTTGTTTCTGTCTTTTGTCTACTGTAATTAATGCTGCAAGGAACAGTGGCATTCAAGCACTGTATCTGTTTGATTCCTTGTTTTTAATTCTTTGGGTACATACCTAAGAGGGAATTGCTAATTTGCATGTAATTCTATGTTTAGCTTTTTGAGGAATCACGAAACTGTTTTCCATAGTAGATGTATCAGTTCGCATCCCCATCTGTAATGTAAGAGGGTTCTAATTTCTTTATATCTTCACCAACACTCATTATTTTACTTCATTTTTGGATAATAGCCATCTAGTAAGTGTGAAGTGGAACTCATTGTAATTTTGATTTGCATTTTTCAAAGACTAGTGATGTTGAGCATCTCTTCATATGACTCTTGGCCATTGGTATATCTTTATGGAATAAATATCTACGAAGTCCTTTACCCATTTTTAAATTGAATTTTCTTTTGGTTGTTGCATTTTAGTAGTTATTTATATATTTTGGATATTAAACTCTCATGAGATATATGATTTGCAAATATTTATCCCATTCTGTAGGATATTTTCACTTTCTTTATAATGTTTTTTGATGCAAAACATTTTAAGTTTGATTAAGTCCAAATTATCTATTTTTCCTTTATTGCCTAAGTCTTTGATGTCAAAGCTAAAAATTCATAGCAAATCAAATGTTATAAATTTACATTATTATGTTTTCTTCCATAACTTTCATCGTTTTTAACTTATATATTTTGGTCATTGATCCACTTACTTTTTGCATATGTTGTAGGAGTTAGGGATCCCACTTCATTCTTTTGCATGTAGAAATTCAGCTGACCCAGCACCATCTTTTGAATATGCCATTATTTCCCCACTGAATGAACTTGATAACCTTGCCAAAAAAATTTGAATGTAAGTAAGTTTAATGATATCTTTTGAAAAGCAGAATTAATTAATATTCCTGAATTTTTATTTCTTATTATTTTTTAACCTTTGGTTAGTGCTATTTACAAAAAAATCTAATCTAAGTAATCTTTCCCTACAAAAATTTACACATTCTCCCTTTTCTAATTAATTTTTATTTATAATGTGAAATGGGAATCAAGGCTCCTTTTCTATCATATGGATGTCTATCCTGCCAATATCATTTATTGAAAAGATTATTTGGGGGGTCCAAAGTGGCTCCCGCTGGAGGTCGTGGCGCTTGCGAAGGCCAGGTCATGAGTTCAAGGCTAACCTGAGCAACCTTATAAGCTCAAACTTATTGTAAAAAAAAAAAAAAAAAAAAAGAAAAGATTATTTGGAGATTGGAGAGATTATTCAATTATGGTGATGTCTTTGTTGAAATCAATCATATATGTACAGGTGTATTCTGGACTTTTGTATTTTTTATTGATTTGGATGTCTATGTTTACACCAATATATTGTTAATTAAATGAGTTTTCTCGTAAGTCTTGAAATCAGGTAATTAATAAAAACCCTCTAATTTTATTCTTTTAAAAAAATTGACACATAACATTTGTCAATATATATGTATGTGTGGTATTCTGTTGCATGCGTAGAATGGAAAATGATCAAGTCAGGGTATTTAAGGTATTGATTATCTTGAAAATTTATCATTTCTATATGTTGAGAACATTTCAATTTCTCCCTTTGAGATACTCAGATACATACAAAACATTGTCATTAACTATAGTCACCCTCTTCTGCTGTCAAATATTATAACTTATTCATTCTATTTAACTATATGTTTGTACCTATTAACTAATCCCTCTTCATCCCTCCTGACACATGCTTCCCAGGTTCTGGTAACTCTTTACCTCCTGAGATCAACTTTTTCAGCTCCCATATATAAATGAGAACATGTGATATTTGTCTTTCTGTGCCTGGCATATTTCACGTAATGTGGTGATCTCCAGTTCCATCCATGTTGCTGCAAATGACAAGATTGCATTATTTTTTATGGCCAAATAGTATTCCAGTGAGTATACATATCACATTTACTTTACCCGTGTATCTACTGATGGACACTGAAGTTGATTCTATGTCTGCTATTATAAATAGTCCTATAATAAATGGGAGGGTGCAGGTGTTCCTTTGATACATTGTTTTTTGTTGTCGTTTGTTTTTGCTTTGGATAACTACCCAGTAGTGGAATGGCTGGATCATATGGTGGTTCTATTTTTAGTTTTTTTAGAGGTCACCATACTGTTTTCCATAATGGTTATGCCACCAGTAATGTCAAGAGTTCACTTTTCCTTGCATCCTTGCCAGCATCTGTTATTTTTCAAAATGTTTGGCTATTCTCTGACCTTACCAGTTTGTCAACATTTAACATAGATCTTGCTAGGATTTGGTAGTTACTGTGCTTAATCTATAAATCAGTTTTGAGAGAATGAATGCCTTCATATTGTCTTATAATTCATAAAAAAATATTTCCTCCATTTGTTTAGATATGCTTAGTTTCTCTCGGTGATACTGTCTAGTTTTTACTGTAGAGATATTGTACAATTTTATTAAATATTTTCTTTTTGATTACTCACAAATACTATTTAAGAAATTTCATTTTCAGTTACATGTTGCTAGTGTAGAAATACATTAATTTTGATATATTCATCTCATGACATAGCAAAATTTACTTCTTACTTCTAGCAAATTTTTTTTGGTAAATCTTTAGATAGTCTTTATAGGCAGTTAGGTCAAATGCAAGCAAAAAGTTTTCTTTTATTCCTTCCTTCCACAAACTTTGTGACTTACTTGTTCTGTTTGTCTTATTGCACTGCATGGGACCTTTAATATAATATTAGATAAAAGTAGCAAGAGTAAATATCCTTACCTTATTATCAATCTTAGGGATTTGTTTGTTTTTCAACATTGAATATGGTGTTAAGTGTAGATTTTTTTGTACATGCTGTTTATTGTGTTGAGGAAATTTCCTTCTCTTTATAAGTGGTGTGTTTGTGTGTCTTGAAGAAGTGTTAATGTTTTCCTGGTAAATATTTTGTGATTTATTAATCTTGTTTTTTTGAGAATTAAGGAAAATATGTTAAGGTCTCCTAATTCCATTAGCCTTCCCTTGTATTGTCATCATATATATATTTATACACACACACACACACACACACACATATATATGCTGAGCTTCATAATGCACAAATATTTCTAAAATGTATACCTTTATAGTGGAATATATTATTTCTCAATAAAATGCTATTTCTTTTTCAATACTTTTAAATAATTTTTAATACTTCTAATAGTATGGTATTAATACTATATATTCCTCTATGTTTTTTTCTCTCTGACATCTCTTCCAATTTCTTTTCAATTCAACATTTCTTGTAGACAGTATGAATTTTTATTCAATCTGAGACTTTTTTCTTTTAATATATGCTTTAGTTTTAATGTTAAAATTTATCAACATAATTAATATGCATGGTATAATAGATGCAATGAAAGAAAAAAATAATTTGACTGCAGAGATAGAGAACACACAGCTTTTCAAGAACAAATAGGACATATAAAAATAGATCAAAAATTATGCCTGCAAAAAAATTTCAATTAATTCCTTAAGCAAAATTAACATAGTCCATATTCCATGAATACAATGTAATAAAATTAGAAGTTTAAAACAGCTCTACAGGTAAAACTTCAGAAATAATTCTCTAAATAAATTGTGGTATAAAGATAAAGCTTAAATGAAAATTAACAACTATCTTAATGCTAAAAGACATTAAAGGCAGCATCTATCAAGAGATATATTATCTTGCCAGAGTGGTACTGAGCAGAAAAGTTATAGCATAAAAATGCACATACTTAAAAAACAATTAAAGCTAATAAATTATGCAAATTAAGTAAAAACCTAGAAAAGAAAAAATAAGGAAAATAAAAGGAATTGCTAGAAATAAACATAGAAACTAAATTACAAACAGAAATAAAAAGTAAAGATGATCAAGAAAATTAAAAGCAACCTCTTTATTTTATTTATTTCTTTTTTTGAGATGGAGTTTCGCTCTGGTTACCCAGACTGGAGTGCAATGGCGCGATCTCGGCTCACCGCAACCTCCGCCTCTTGGGTTCAGGCAATTCTCCTGCCTCAGCCTCCTGAGTAGCTGGGATTACAGGCACGTGCCACCATGCCCAGCTAATTTTTTGTATTTCGAGTAGAGACGGGGTTTCACCATGTTGACCAGGGTGGTCTCGATCTTTTGATTTTGTCATCCACCCGCCGCGGCCTCCCAAAGTGCTGGGATTACAGGCTTGAGCCACCGCGCCCGGCCCAAAACCAAACTCTTTAAAATTATCAATGAGATGGGCAAACTTGAACACTTTCACCAGTTAAAAATACAAACAAATAATGGCAGGAGTGAGAAAATAAATACCATTATAGATATAGAGGCAACATTGTATTAGTGCATTCTTACACTGCTATAAAGAACTACCTGAAATTGGGTAATTTATGGAGAAAGGAGGACTAATTGACTCAGTTCCACAGGCTGTACAGGAAGCATGGCTGGGGAGGCCTCAAGGAAGTTACAATCAGGCACATCCTACTATGGTAGAACAGGCGGGAGAGAGAGAGAGAGAGAGAGAGAGAGAGAGAGAGAGAGAGAGAGAGAGAGAGAGAGAGAGAGAGAGAGAGAGAGACCTACTTCTAAACAACCAGATCTCATGAGAACTCATTATCATGAGAACAGCAAGGGGGAAATCTACCCCCATGATCTAATCGCCACCTCCCATCAGGTCCCTCTCCCAACACTGGGGATTAAATTCAACATGAGATTTGGGTGGCAATACAGAGCCAAACCATCTAGATGTAAATACAATTTATGTTAAAAATTAACCATCTTAGTAAGTATTATTTTCTAGTGACACAAATGACAAAAATTTACCTAAGGAATAGTAGAAATATTGGTAGTGTCAGGGAAAATATTGAGAGCTTATCTACCATGATATGGGAAATCAGGCGCAGGGTGTTTTATGGATGAGGTTAACTGTACCTTTATAGAGATAACTTCTTTATTATGTAATGTTTTCAGACTGGCATAAAGAAATATACTCTGCTTCAAATAACTCTATGGGTGTAATGTAACTCTGATATCAAGATTTAACAAAGAAAGCGTGGAAAACTCATGAATACAGAAATGAATATCATAAATGAACTATTAGCAAATTAATTTCAGGAGTGTGTTAGCAGATTAATATAAATACATTATGCCCAAAAGGTGTATACTGGGAGTGCAAAAGTATTTCAAATTATGAAACGTGCTTTAATTTAATTAGTACGTTAACAAAGGAGAACTGTGAATAAACATCTCAATATCAGTGGATAAATCATTTGATTCTTTACAGTATTTGTTACTGACTCAGAAATAAAGAAGATCTTAGTAAGCAAGTTATAGAAATACACTCTTGAAAATGGCTTAAAAATATAGACCAGAAGCTTTAATAAAATTTAATAAGTAATAGTGAAGTATTTTAAGTGTGGTAGGTTTAATGATGTCTCCTCCCCACAAAAACATCTTAATTCCCGGAACTTGTGAATCTGTTACCTTATGTATTTAAAGAGACTTTGAAGATATGATTAAGTTAAGAACCTTGAGACTGGGAGATTATTCTGAATTACCTGGCTGATACAAATCTAGACAGGGGTGAAGGCCATGTGATGATGGAAGGAAGAGGTTGGAGCACTATGAAGAAGAAGCCTTGAGTCAAGGAATGCAGGTGGCTTATAGAAGCTGATAGAGACAAGGAACAGATCCTGTCTTGCAAAAGGAAGAGCATGTTCTCCTCCGGAAAAAAACAGCCCTGCAGATACTTTGATTATAGCCCTGTACACCACACTCTGAATTCAGACGTCTAGAACTGTAAGGAAATGAATTTGTGGTGGGTTAAGTTACAAAGCTTGTGGTAATATGTTACAGTGGTACAGGAAAGCTAATATGAAGATAATCTGCGGTAAATCAGAAATAAGAAAAGAATCCCAGCTACCATGACAATACTGATGTTTGTTGGAGATGCTGTGCCATGCAATAAAAGTAAAGTATGTGTGTATGTGTGTATATACACACACACCTATGTATAGACACTATGCAAACACACATATATACACGTGACAAAGATAAAGGTTTTGTCCACCAAAAGAAAAAAAATAGCAAGACTCAATGAAAACCTATAAAAACTAGTAAGAGTCCAGGAAAGTGGCCAAATTGAAAAACAATCACTAGCAATGACAAATTTAAAATGTAACAGAAAAACTGGTCCGTTTTGAACAGCCACAAAGCTCATTAAATACTTATGATTAGGTATGACAAGAAAAGTTGTAAAACCTGTTTAGAAAATAAAAGTCTATTGAAGGTCATAACACAGCCCCTAAAAAAAAAAACAAAAAGTTATACTATGTTCTTGGTTAAGAAGTATTCAGTATTTGAAAGAGGTAAACTCTCCCATAATTATTCTGCATGTTAAAATTAATCTGAAAATTAGACTCAATATAATTTCTAAGGAATATATAGGATTATTTTAAATTTGTTATGGAAACATTATTTTCAAAACAATAAGACAACATTTGAAAGGAAGACCAATGAGAAACTAATCCTACCAAATATGAAAACATATTATAGAATTATAGCAAGTTGAACAGTGTGGTTATTACAGGAAACAGTAAGAAAATTGATGGTATGTAATATAGAGTTCAGAAATATTCATGTTTTTATAATTCAACACAAAAAATGGATGGACTATAGCACATTAATATTTTGACAACTGATTATCAATCTGGAAACTTTTATTTAGCTCTCTGTATAATCTTACTAGAAATAATTTACTATGGATAAGTTAAAAAGCTAAATACCGAACAAGTCTCTGAAATTTTAGGAGAAAATACATGAAAATATTACATATCTTGGAACTAGAATGCTTTTCTAATTATAAAAC